GAGTTTGTAGCCTAAACGGCTGAAAGTATCTCGATGAATTTTGTCATAGATGTAGAGAATAGTCTGGAAGAACACATAGGCTACTTGGCTTTTTTTTTAATTCCACGCGGACGGAGTCCCGGGCGAAAGCTAAATTATAAAGAGAAGATTGTGAGAGTTAATTTTGTATGTACAGTAAAATTTATAACAGAGTATGAACTAGTTACATATGTTCTCGTTATTGTGTTAATTTAAGACAAGGCTGCGCATAATGCGGTCTGTTCTTAGCGCTACCTTAACACGGACAATCAACAATTACAATTTCCGTTGAACTGTCCGTCGGTGCGTTACTAACGCTAATCTTATTGGGCACAGGATTTAAGATTGAATTCGGAATTTTGTTGTAATAAAGACAGGCCTGGTCTAGTGACAGTGATGGTAATTTCGGAAAGATATTGAGAAGAAATGATGTTTGGTACTGTAATACTTTAGAAATAATTAAAATGTTAATTATTATTTACGATGTAAGTTTTATTTACAAACTAGCTTTCGCCCGCGACTTAGTCCGCGTGAAAATAAAAAAAAGCTAAAGTTAGTAGCCAATGTGTTCTTCCAGACTATCATCTACATCTGTACCAAATTTCATTCAAATCTGTTCAGCCGCTTGTGCTACAAACTCTAACAAACATCCATCTATCCATCTAATCATTCTCATTTATAACATTAATGAGATAACACAGGTCGAACGAAGGTCGGTTGAAGGTCAACTCTAGTGTAAAAGTTCTACAAAGAGTGCTTCTGAAGGAACTTTATCTAAGAAAATGTTGTCTTCTCCTTCACAATTAGTTTAGTGATAATTACATACTTAGAGTGAATGAAATGTTGTCAGTGGGAAATCTACACTGAACAAAGTAACGATTAAGAGAGACGAGTCTCTGTGTATGCCAGATTAGAGTTTTATATCTTCTTAATTTTTTCCTAAACTGAATCAGTTTTTGATTAAGATTTTTATTTTCAGAATTAATTAAATTAACATGAGATTTCGTAGAAAACTTTTTACGTCACTGATGCGTTGATGTCTTTTATATTGACGCTTCTGTTGACATTTTTATAACTTAAGTCGTTAAATACTGCTATCTAAAGTGTTGATACTTATCAGATAATTAATCAATTTTAAGCTGGAAAGACTTGTTAGTCATCTTGAGAACAAGGTTTGGCGTTGTCGTACTGCCGCGTTCTTTACATGAGAAGGCATTACTTAAAAATGGTCTAAAGTCAACATTAAGTTATTCATAGATGGATACTAGAGTACTTTTTGACCGACTTCCCAAAAGAAGGAGGTATTCAATTCGACGGTATATTTTTTTTTTTTTTTTTTTTTTTTTTTTTTTT